GCTTCCCAGAATTCTCCTCTCTCCTTGTCCCACCTACTTCCTGCCTGGCCACTGGCCAATCAGTGTTTTATTTATTGACCAATCAGAGCAATTTGACATATAGACCGTCCCACAGCAAGCAGTGAAGCTGAGGAAAATGCAGTCCATCTTGGAGGAGGCTTGCCTGCCCGTCCAGGGTTCAGATTACCAGAGATGGCTGTGGGAAATAGCAAAGATGCTCCTGCTTTTGTTGGTCCGTCTGTCCTTCTAGTGAGGCCCTCAGATTTTTGTGCCTCTGCACAGTTTATTAGGTTTCTCTTCTATCCACTCATAGTCGCTTTTGAATGTGCCTTTATCGTAATTTACCCAGTCCAAAGCCGCTGCCCCTAGCTATTTCCTGTGTTTATCAGCTAATATTTCCCCACCCCAAACCGTTGTAGGGCTGAGTGCCCAGTGGTTAAGTACCCCTCACAGCTCACATAGACCCCACATTGTTTCAGACTCTCCAGCCTTGCGCTTTCTCAAACCTGCCTCCCCTACTTGGACTCTTCCTTCCTGGAGACGGGCCGTCTCAATGTGGCCCTCCACATTGTGGAGCAGCAATCTGCGACAGAAGTGTTAAGCCTGCTCAGTGTGGTCCTTGTTACTGTTGAGACGGGGTCTTGATGTCATTGCCTAACGGGATCACAAACCTGTGATCCTCCTGCCTCAGCCTCCTCAGTTCTGGGATGACAGCATGTCCAGGTTTCATCTTTGTATCTTAAGACACCATCTTCCAGCCAGTCGTTTTTACCAAACTGTCTGTGGTGAAGGACTAGTTTCTATTTTTTCCAATTGTTCATGCACTGGTACTATTGTAAAACGTAACAATGAATTTCTAGAAAAATTACCATATTCTCTGATGTTATGACAATGTTAATTGCCATGAAATTTCCTAGTGTTCATCCGTCCTACTGTAATCCAGTAAGTTTTGTGTTAGCATTGATCTGTGAATGTTGCGCTCAGCGCACACAGTGAGTAGAGCAGGTTCAGGGGAAGGAAGCAGTCACCCGAGGAGGGTGCCCCAGGAAGCCTGGAGTGAAGTCGAGAGGCCCTGACCCAGTGCACAGTGGACAGCACAGACTGGGAGAAGGAAGTGTAGGAGCTGGCCACGTGTGCACCCGTACAGTGCCAGCTCTCACTCATAAACCCTCTCGGGGCTGGCAAGGGGTGGAACAGTGGGGTACTGAGAGATGGTGCTGAACTCAGCCTCTTCCGCACGGCCAGCGTGTGGCATCTACGTGGTCCGCAGTGGCATCCCCGTCACATAGGTGGCAGGGACCTATGACTCTAATTTCCTTTCTTTGTTACTTTTTCTTTTCCTCCTTTTTTTTTTTTTTTTTAAACTTTTGTGGTGCGGGTAGAACCTGGGCAAGCACTGTTCCTGGGCTGCACCCCTCGCCCTGACTCAGTTTCTTCATGTGGCTCCAGGGACAAAATTCAGACAGGATTCAGAAGTTTGTGGGTTCCTTAGAGCCGAGTCAGGAAAAGACCACACAGCAGGTAAATAGAGTTCTTCAGAGAACATCAATCCCAGGGACGGGGGCTTTGTCTGTCACAGGGAGAGACGGGAGCTAGGGACACTCGAGCATAGAACCAGAAATAGAATTTTTTTTTTTTTTTTTTTTTTTTTTTTTGGTTTTTCGAGACAGGGTTTCTCTGTGTAGCTTTGCACCTGTCCTGGATCTCATGCTGTAGACCAGGCTGGCCTTGAACTCACAGAGATCTGCCTGGCTCTGCCTCCCGAGTGCTGGGATTAAAGGCGTGCGTTGTTGACAGCACAGAGAACGTATGTCGACTCAGCTGTTGTCTTAGCAGAACATTAGGCCTAAACTCTAAGGCAAAGCTCCTGCTGCAGTTTTGAGTTGTGAAAGTTCCCTCAAAAACCTTACTTGGTAAAGCTAGTCCCACAGAGCAGCGAGCGCGGTCCTGGGTCAGTCGTTTAACAAGCTACTCTCTTAGAGAAGTGCTTCTCACGCCGGGCTTTCCTCTCCCTGGGAACACACGAATACTTTGCAATCTATCAGTTTTCAGGACCCGGATCCCCTAACCTTTAACCTATATAGAGTTGTGCCTGAGATCAAGCCCTGTGGCCCAAAGCTCCCC